GATAACCATGTATAGTACGCCTTTTGACTTGCTGACTTAGTACACTGTGGTTACAGGGGACCCCACATCTACATGATCCACTTGTCCATACAGCTATATCCAATGTGGGGGTTCTGACCCTTATGGCATCATGCGTTTTATATACAGTATGACTTAAATTATGTTTATAATCCTATACTTTTATATAAATCATATAGACTTATTGTATTTTATTGATCATTCACATTTGTGGCTATGCACACAATTGGGACCTCTGGCTCCACCCCCAAAAGCATCTGGCATACCTGCTATTTATTCCCATGGGTGAGACTGCCAAACACCCACCCCTTAGAAACAAGCACATTTAAGAGAGGACACATTGTAGATACTGGCTCTGAGGAAGAGGCAAGGCTTTAAAACAAGTCCGCCATTTGGAGGTCCACTAGTCCCTATACAGACATCATCTGGTGAGATTGGACTTTGCTGAACTTCATATGATGTGCCTTTGATATTTTATCCTTTTGTAAGTATATCACCATTTTTACACAATAAATACATTTTTTAAGGTAATGCAGTAGGCAGGTGCTCCCTCTGTTTGTCTCTTTTGCATACACCACGCTACACAGACCGGGACCTCCCGCTAACCATTGGCCACACAGAACAGGTTAGGTAGGGCCGGAGTCTGATCTTTTATTCCATAGTTCTAATGGTGAAAGTCTGGAGCTCCTGAAGTATACAGCCTCACGGTGCCATGTTCAGTTCCCTCCCCCCCGCTTGACTCTTTCCTGCTTATACAATCTATTTTAGATCTACCATCAACTATGTAGTGCATAGGTGGTATCTCCTTTTATTATAAAGTTTTGGTAAATCTAAAGGAGGTCAAATTGACATTGATGGATCAATTATTGGCCAATTCAGCCAGGACCAGCTGAGATGCGATCCGTCGATTTTCTTCAGTACTAGTAGCCTGTCTGATTTTTTTTTTTTTTCTTGCTATCACTGTTGGCACCAGCAGTGATCATTGTGTTTTTCTGGCAGAGAAGGCCACCCATCAATAGAACACAATACTGCTTGGAGAGGGATTCCCCCATCAGCACTGACTGAAATTGTGCATTCAGTTATTTTTATTATTATACAGGATTTATATAGCGCCAACAGTTTGCTCAGCGCTTTACAATATAACGGGAGACAATACAGTTCAATACAAAAGGGAAAGGAGAGCCCTGCTTCTTGGAGCTTACAATCTAGGAGATTCAATTGCTTACTTTAGAGCTAGATGCTACCATAAGGGTGGAGTAAAGGTCTCCTATCAATACCTTTTTGGTCAGGTTTGTAGAATTCACCATTGTAAGGATTCGGGAACAATTCTCAATTGAAGGGGTTGTATGAGACCTGTATCTGTAAGGCATGTTGACTTTTTACATAGTTGGTCTCTTTGAAAAAAGACACAAGTCCATCCAGTTCAACCAATGGAAAAAAATGGAAAAAAAAAAAAAAATACTATCCTACATACACAACCCTATACCCACAGTTGATCCAGAGGTAGGCAAAAAACCCCAATAAAGCATAATCCAATTTACTCCAGTGGGGGGGGGGATTACTGTGTGCAAGTGGCCTAAGTGTATCTAGGAAAGAATCCAGGCCTTTTTTTAAAGCAGACTACTGAGCTAGCCAGAACCAACTCTTGAGGTAGTCTATACCACATTTTCAGAGCTCTTACTGTGAAGAAACCTTTCCATATTTGGATATTAAATCTCTTTACCTCCAGACTTGAAGAGTGCCCCCTTGTGCTCTGTGATGACCTTAAAGTGAATAATGCTATAATAAGTTCACTATGTGGGTGGACCACTTACTGCATGTATTTACACATGTTGATAATAACCTTTCCTCCGTGCCTCTTATCAGTTTGGTTGCCCTTCTGTGTACTCTCCTGTTCCCCGATATCCTTTTTGTGAATTGGGGCCCAAAACTAACTGCATATTCCAGATGAGGTCTTACTAATGATTTGTAAAGGGGCAAAATGAGGTTTGTCTCCTCTCCATGCCATACCTCTCTTAATACAAAAAAGGAGTTGCTCGCTTTGGGAACTGCAGCTCAGCATTGCATGCAAATATTAAGATTATGATCTAACAGAACACCCAGATCCTTCACCATTAATTCCTTCAGCTGGTATTCTCACATGTATGATGCATGCATATTCTTAGCCCACAGGTGGATAACCTTACATTTATCAACATTAAACCTCATTTGTCCCATAGTTGCCCAATTAAACACTGCATTGAGGTCAACTTGTAAGTTAAAGACCTCTTGTAAAGATGTTATTCCACTGCATAGCTTGGTGTCCTCTGCAAAGACTGAAATGGTATTTTTAATCCCAGACCTGATATCATTTATAAATATATTAAAAAGTAAGGGTCCCAACACTGAACCTTGTGGTACATCACGAACAACCCTAGACCATTCAGAGTATGAATAATTAACCACTACTCTCTGAATACGGTCTTTTAGCCACTTTTCTATACATTTACAAACTGATTTTTCCAAGCCTGTAGACTTTACCTTACACATCAAAGTACTGGAAAAAACGATTGTTTTTGTGAAAGAGATTGCTCTGCCAAGGACTGAAAAGTGAGAACATTATTATGGTATAACTGTTAAAGAAAAGGGGTTCCACTTTTTTTTTTATCTATTTATCAAAACCATCCAGATCCAGTGTGGATAGCTTAGAAAACGTCAAGGTGTTCCAGATTGGTGCATATTGTGTATACCCAATGTGCTCAGTAATTGCCTGAGTAAAAGTGTGAGATATTGTTGTTTTAAGTGAAAATGTCCAGTCTCTAAAAAGGAAGTAATAGAGTCTTGGGATGATAGGAAAGAGATCAGTCTCTGGTTAAGTTTTCAAGTGCCCCACCCTGTGATTTCTTGTATCCGGGAAGCTAAGAAATAGTCTGACATTAGGTATTGCTAGTCCATCTTTTGGGAGTTGTAAAGCATCTAATCTAATTTTGGGTCACGTTTGCTTCCAATTGAGACCCCTGAAAAGGGAATCCACTTTTTTGGACATCCGTTAAGGTATCCAAATCAGAGACTTGAAAAACATATAACAGTTGGGTCATCCCAAGTCATTTTACTAAATTACCCCTACCACTACAAATAGCAGCAGTTTACAACAGGTCTTTCAGTTTTTAATTAGTTTTGCCAGAGGAAGCTTCAGTGTATTGTAATCAGCAACTACTGGGGAAACCTGTATGCATATATAATTGAAGAAGACCACAGAAATGATTTGATTAGCTCTGTAGGTAAATTCTTGAAATGGGATCTAATACCAGGAGCAAAGATTAAACCCCGAGAATTGATCATTAATAGAAATTAGAGACATGACCAATGTTAAAGAAGAACTTCACCCAAAGGGGAAGATCCGCTTTTCCTCCTCCTGCCTCCCCCCTCCTCTGTCATACTTTGAGTGTCTTTTGTTTGGGGGGGTACCTGCTCCCACTTCTGATCCGAAGAACCTCTTTAAGGGTCTTGACCCACCTAATACTTTACTGGAAAACGTTTTCTGACTTAAATAGCTTAAGTGCCTGTTACTGGACTTTGTACAATAAGCATCCTTGGCTGAAAGTCTGGATCCCTTCTATACAAGTTTGTCATGTTGATAGTTGTGTTCTTTGTTCCTTGGCTGCAAACAAGTACATAGAATATGATCTTGAAGTAAAGTCAAGAAACAAAGTCCCTCTGTTAGCTGCAGTGAAGGAACTGATGTGTGTGAAGCAACAGGGAGTTTGATGGCAGTTTTTATAACTGCTGTGGGACAAAGGAAAGTGTTTGGGTGCATGCCATTTTATTTGATAGTAGGCTCGGGCACAATAATGCATAAGTCACTTAGGTCCAGTTGACAATACATTTAAACAAAACCTTTAATGAAATGTGGAGGCTAGCATTGTTGATCTCCCCTTGGAAATACTAGTATCTGGCTATGTCTAGCTTAAATATGTTCTGCATCACTGGCCCAAGCATGTGGCATGAGGAATCGGAGAAAAGTCAGAATTCCTTATCTTCATACTATGACAGTCAGAGAACCAATGTTTTCTTAAGGTAAGGTTGACTTTTGAAGTCTACATATGTCCATCAGTACAGGCGTCTGTCCACCTCTGACAAGAAGTGTGGAAATCTTCCTATGCCGGGGTCACAGAATGTTATGTTTAGCTTAGTAGGGTTAAAAGCACTACCTTACTCCGTGCTAAATAAATACTTTCACAATAAAATGATGTGCTTTGTAAGGACATTTGTTTTGGAAAAGTATGGAAGGCGTCACTCCCAAAAATGATAGGTGCCTAGATTTTATAACCAATACTGTATCACAGACGCCAATCACGAGCTCAACTCCAGCCAAAACCATTTTTGCTCTCTTTTATTAGTGTGAGGAATGCTTAGAATGTCAAATTGCTGTCTCCCCCCCATATTTAAGAGATTTCCTCTTGCTTCCCCATATGTCTTTGTTCAGTCTGATTTCCTATCAGATACACAGAGTGAGAAAAAATCTTTCCACATCCTTCAGTTTGATGGGAGAACAAGAATAATAAGGAACCCCCCAACATGAACACAGGTAGCAGCAAATTTTAGTAGAACGCAAAAAAGGATTTAAAACCTCTGTTAGGATTTTTTTTTTTTTTTTTCACTACTTGCCTGGGAAAAGGGTGCCAGAATGGGAAGACAAAGAGGCAAAAATGCTATTTAAATTCTCACACAGATCTAACACTACCCCTTCCCCCCATCTAGAAAATGTTAGGTTTTAACTTGCTGCATGCTTGTTTCAAGGCAGTGACTAAGTATTGAAGTCAAATGTCAGCTAGCACTTTCAGAGATAGGTCAGCAAAACAGACTCCTTATTTCTTTCATGTCTGAAATGTAATTATATCAAAACAACACGTAGAATCCAGCAATTCGCACTGGGCCAAATAACCTAAGCCTTTTCTTATCCAGACATTCATTTTTGGGTTTAATCTTTTTTTCTTTCCTAGGACCTCTTCTGTATCACTATGAAAACATGGCTAATGAACTCTCTATAGAACTGAGTTATGAGGATATCAAAAATGTTATATTGCAGCATGGATTCCAAATACAGGTATCTCCATTCTTCGAGGAGGCATCCAACATTTTTTTTTTTTTTTTATAGTACTTTATTGAGCAGGGAATGCCCAAACAGATTCCTTTTTCTTTTTTGTCCCTATAATGTCACTGAGGAGGCTGGGGAAATCTGTCAAACAGGGACCCAAATGGCAGGTATTTATTGCTGTCTGTGTGTCTCAGTGGGGACACATTTCTAACCATTCCCACTATTTAAAAATCTGGTTCTTGCTAATTAAATAGTAATATGTAAATATATTTTTTTTAACTGGAGTAACAGGTGTACTTTTTAGCCTTTTTTTTTTTTTTTTTGTCCAGAGGTCATTGATACCTAGATGCCAAGACCAGATATAGCAGAATCCGCATCTATCAGTTAACTTGACAATAACTCTGATTAATTTTGTATACCTAAATTGTTTTTGTTATTTTGTTTAACCACTTGCCTTTGTGTCCGAGCTAATTTTCAGCTTTCAGCGCTGTCGCACTTTGACAATTGTGCGGTCATGCAACACTGCACCCAATTTTTTATCACATTTTTTACACAAACAGAGCTTTCTTTTGGTGGTATGTAGTCACTGCTGGGTGTTTTTTATTTTTTGCGCTGTAAACAAAAAAGAGCAAACTTTTTTTTTAAAAAATTTTTCTTTGTTTCTGTTATAAAATTTTGCAAACAGGTAATTTTTCTCCTTTACTGATGTGTTGATGAGGCTGCACTGATGGGCAGCATGATAATGTGGCACTGATGGACTTCACTGATGAGCTGGTGCTATTATTATTATAATATAGCGCCAACAGTTTGCGCAGCGCTTTACAAAATGAAGGTAGACATTACAGTTACAATACAATTTGGTACAAGAGGAAACAGAGGGCAACAATATGCAACAATGATAGGCACTGATAGGCAGCTCTGATGGGCACTGCTGGGCACCGATCATCAGTGCCCTGAGGATTGGTGCCAATCCCTCCTCTGACAATTGCTGGTTATCGGCAGTACTTTCCTCACGCTGTGACAGTGTGAGGAAAGTGCAGCTGATAACCGGCAACTGCATTTATCCGGTGATCTGCTGTGTCATTTTATCCGCTGTGATTGGCCTTTTACCACCTCCATGTGATCAGCTGTGTCCTTAGGACACAGCGATCATGGAGATCGCCAGGGGCGCGCGGGAAGACGCGTTTTTGGGAGGACTTCATATGACGCCCTCCCAGAACTGGCCGGCTGCAGTGAAGCCGTCATTCAGCTATCTGCGGTTGGCAAGTGGTTAAGGACATACACTGTATATAGCTTATATTTGATACCCTGTTTTAATAAAAAATCCTTTTCTGTTTTTATATAGACTTACAAATGCATCCAAATGTAAAAATATGTAAAAAAAGCTATTTCCATCATTTTTATTTTTTATTTTGCAATCTTATAATACAGCATTAAAGCTGAATTGCAGCAATTTAGCAACTTTTGTAAAAAGTTATGGCTCACTATAAGTTAAGTCCAATGAGGTACCTGCCACCTCCTGGACTTCTGTTTAATTTAAATCTGACAGGTTTATTGTACTCCAGCAATATATCTTCCGGAGCTCCAAAGCTGGATGCTGTGGTCTCAGCTACTTCAAGTGTATTTTTGGTGCAGCTACTGTGCTCACACCTCTCCACCTCCTGCTTATTAACAGAAGTCTCTGTATTATGAGAACTCATTCACAAAATACAAGGGCTTCTATGAATGGGCAGTAGAGGGGACAGGTGGACATAGCTTCTCTGTGTGCTTCTCTGCCCTCTCTGTGTTGAGTGTATCCTCTGGTAGAGCCATAAATCTGTCAGATATAAATAAGTATAAGTCCATGAGGGGGCAGGCACCTGGTTGGACTTAAAAGAGAAGTATGGGATTTTTTTTTTTAAGATCATACTTACCTAGGTGAATGCAGCATCAATCCAATGCTGCATTTGTCCCCACTGGCTCAAAGGGTGGGAACTGAGCAGTCCGTTCTCCCTGCCACTCTGAGCAGAGAGCAGTGACTGTCATTTGCCACTGTCTGCCTGCCCACCCCAGAACTCACTGGAGCTCTGGGATGTGGAGGGGAAGGGAGCAGCTGGCTCAGGCTCTCAGCAGCTTGTTGAGAGGCTGAGCCAGGTGCCCGTCCAGACATCTTGGCGGATCCCGACTTTAAAGTTGGGATCTTTCCCTATAGCCTGGACTGGCTGAGTGACATCAGCCAACAGCAGACTTTAACTTACGGTCAGCTGAAAACGGGTCACAGGAGTGGAGGACGAACTGTATTCCTGTGATTCCACAGGAAAAGTACAGCCAAAAGAGCTTTGGCTGTACTTCTCTTTTTAACTCCTTTTGTGCCTGCATTTTTTGCAAAGCTGCTGAATTCATGGAACTGCAGGGATGTGCAAACATGAAGGTAGCATCTGCAAGCTGAATGTTGTGTTTTTTTTTTTTTTTTTTTTTTTTTTTTTCAATGAAACCTCCAGCATGCTTGTGATTACTGTGTCAAAGCTGACATAGATGATCAGGACCTGTGCTTACTGTCTCTTGATCTTCAGTGGGGACCTGAGCAGTCAGTGCAACTAGTGGCTCTAAATCCCAATTGTTAATGTCTGTTGGCTGGTGGCTTTTAAAAAGGAGAGCATTTATAAATACACTGCTCAAAAAAAATTAAAGGAACACTTTGAAAACACATCAGATCTCAATGGGGAAAAATACCATGCTGGATATCTATACTGATATGGACTGGGTAATGTGTTAGGAACGTAAGGATGCCTCATCATTTGATGGAAATGAAAATGATCAACCTACAGAGGACTGAATTAAGATACCCCGAAAATCAAAGTGAAAAAATGATGCAACAGGCTAGTCCATTTTGCTGAAATTTTTATTGCAGCAACTCTAAATGGTACTCAGTAGTTTGTATGGCCCCCATGTGCTTGTATGCATGCCTGATGCATGCTCCTAATGAGATGACGGATGGTGTCCTGGGGTATTTCCTCCCAGATCTGGACCAGGGCATCACTGAGCTCCTATACAGTCAGAGGTGCAACCTGGCGGTGTCGGATGTTCGGAAACATGATATCCCAGAGGTGTTCTATTGGATTTAGGTCAGGCGAGCGTTGGAACCAGTCAATGGTATCAATCCCTTCATCCTCCAGGAACTGCCTGCATACTCTCGCTACATGAGGCCGGGCATTGTCGTGCACCAGGAGTAACCCAGGACCCACTGCACCAGCGTAGGGTTTGACAGTGGGTCCAAGGATTTCATCCCGACACCGAACAATCTCAAGGCACCCCAATCTAACATGTAAAAACCTATTCTACACACATCCAGTACACCCAACGTTAGCGGTGATTTATTATTCCAAGGTAAATTACACCTTTTGCACATTGGTACTGACTACTATTCCAGTGTGTCTCTCAGTTTCTCTCCCTCATTCTGCTAATGTGACCCCAGTGCTGACGGAGAGGGGCAGGGGAGGGCCAAACAAGGATGATGTGAATGTACCTGATATCCTCCTTATCAACTGATGATGTCATTGGTTGTTAGGATGCTGGCAGCTAGAGGGTCATAAAAGTGCACAATGAAAACCTGTGGCTTTGTGTACTAAAAGGCAGGATTGATCCACCTGCTGGTTTGTTTACAATTTTTGGGCATTTTGCCAAGGCACCCCTGAAGGCACCCTGGTTGAGAAAGGCTGGTCAAGCCTATTGAGGTCTGTACGTCCCTCCATGGATATGCCTTCCCATGTAATTACTGACCCATCACCAAAACGGTCATGCTTATTGATGTTTCGGGTAGTACAACATTCTCTGCGGCTTCTCCAGACCCTTTCACGTCTGTCACATGCTCAGGGTGAACCTGCTTTCATCTGTGAAAAGTACAGGGTGCCAGTGGTGGACCTTCCAATTCTGGTGTTCAATGGCAAATGCCAATCGAGCTCTGTGGTGCTGGGCAGTGAGCACAGGGCCCACTAGAGTATGTCGGGCCCTAAGGCCACCCTCATGAAGTCTGTTTGTTTGGTCAGAGACATTCACACCAATGGCCTGCTGGAGGTCATTTTGTAGGGCTCTGGCAGTGCTCATCCTGTTCCTCCTTGCACAAAAGAGCGGATACCGGTCCTGCTGATGGGTTCGGGACCTTCTACGGCCCTGTCCAGCTCTACTAGAGTAACCGCCTGTCTCCTGGAATCTCCTCCATGCTCTTGAGATTGCTGGGAGACACAGCAAACCTTCTGGCAATGGCACATATTGATGTGCCATCCTGGAGGAGTTGGGACTGCCTCTGCAACCTCTGTAGGGTCCAGGTATCGCCTCATGCTACCAGTAGTGAAACTGACCCTAGCCAAATATAAAACTAGTGAAAAACAGTCAGAAAAGATGAGCAGGGAAAAAATGTCAGTGGCCTCCACCTGTAAAACCATTCCTGTTTTAGAGGTCGTCTCATTGTCCATCTAGTGCACCTGTTGGTAATTTCATTAACACCAAAGCAGCTGAAACACCCTCTGCTACTTAACTGACCAGATCAATATCCCAGGAGTTCATTGACCTGATGCTATACTCTGATTAAAAAGTGCTCCTTTACTTTTTATTTGCACTGTATACCCTGGGCATGGGGCATTGTGCTAAGGAACATTTATATACAGATAGTAGCTGAGAAGGTGTTAAAGTAACCTTGTCCTCACATAGTTACTTGTACACAATAACCCTATAAAAGATGTGGTAATACAGTTTACCTTTCTATCCTGTGTGTTGAAATGCCACCACCTGTGTACACTGCAGGTATTCCATACTTCAGATTGGTTAAATAATCTCTACCGCCACCACACACTGTGGTTCCTCCCAGCGACTTGTACGTCCTGTAGTGACATATGGGCCAACGAGAGGGGCCACATTGTGCAGCAGGGAAGAATGTATTCTACACACATAGAAATGTGGATAACTGCAGTAACTGGAGAGAAGGAAAACAGCAGTATTTAACACTTGGTCTACAAGAAAGGTAAATATTTTGCCCTTATATTGGCTTTCTGTGCTGCCGGCTAATATTACAATAATTTTCATTGCCATTTACACTATTTTGGTAAAGCATTTACAGCACTGTCAAATTCTGCATCACAAAATGGAATAGTTAACGTTTACATAACTACTAACTTGTCATTTCTGTTCACAGGCTGAAAAGGAATCTATGAATACAACATACACTGCAAATAATTTATCAATGATGAAATACTGCTATGACTGCGTGTTTTTTGTGGCTCAGAAACCACAGTAGTGACTAATTCTCATGGTTCACATACTGCACAGAACAGATTTCAAAGACTTGAAATGAGACTTCTAAAACTTGAATCCTTGTGCCTTTTTTCCTGTAGGCAATGACTTTAAAGTCAAGTATTTGGAGTTCCAGGTGTACCGTTATGTCAACGCTACCAAGGGTCGGGCCTGCTTGCCCTCATTTATAAAATGTTTTTAAAGTAGCATTCCTTTTGTCTCTTATTTTTCCGGCAGTGAACGTTTTTAAATTTTCCTCTTATTTTGCAGGGATGTATGAAGGTGTGCGTTTGTGTTGGCAAAGTTTAGCGTATGTTAATGATCACTTCAAAGACCATATTTTAATGAGTTTCCTATGTTTTTAGCTTGAAAACTGAAAAACCTCTTCAGCTGACAGCTCTTTTCCATTCTTAGTTGCTTCTAAAAGACAGGCCTTGTTTATGAGAGTAACTGGACTAAAAAGTGCAAGAGGTGGTCCTAAAGTTACCATACAGATGATCCTGTTTTGTTCTACTATAAAGTAATGAATAATCCGGTTTTGAGACAATACATTCTATAGAAACATTGTCAAGTGAAGAATCCAAGGCTGGAACTCAAAGCGTATAAAAGCCAAAAAGCTCTGTCAACTTACACATAGTCGCAACCACCTGCTCCAGTTAGGGGACCTCCACTGCTGAGATTTGCTGTCCTACTGAGTGAGGTTTTTCATCTTTTGCAGGTTTAATGGTTTTACCAGGCATTCTTATTTGCCATAAGGTAGCCTTTCATGTAATATATATTAACAGTATGATGTGAGAATGACACTAACAGATCGAAGTCTGACAATGTTGTATGGAAAGTTTGGTGATCTGGGTCAGCCAAAACACTCCTGTTGCCAAACGTAGTAAAGCATGTGGTTGTAGTTCACAGCCTATGCTGTAATCTTGTGTTTGTGTGTATGTGTGTCAGATCTTTTGACAGTCAAATCTAATCTCTGTCTAATGTATGTGGGTAGCTTCACCAGATACTTGACAGCCAACTGCATACTGAATATCATGCCTTTTACTTAGTGTATGTATTGTGAAAGATGTATGACCAGGTAAAAATGAAGAAGCTCTTTATTAACTTTAGTATTTATTATAAATAAGTGTACAACGGTAACAAATCTTGCAGGAGCCCCCCCCCCCCCCCAAAAGCCTACATTTTAATTTAGAAAAATTCCTTGCCAAAATGTTTTTCTTTTTATGTTGTGTAAGTAAATGTATCAAATCACTTTTTTTTTTTTTTCTTTTTTTTTTTTTTTATTCAGTATCTGCTGCTAATTGGCTAAAATCGTATACAACACTCCCTTCTTTTTCCCCTTTTCTCTTTCTTCATTTATTTTCTATTTTATAGCTTAAAACTCTGGCATACACAAGTTCTGGTTGTTACCCAAAATTAATGGGATCCCCTTTTGGATCATTGCATATTTTTCTTATGACATGAATACAGTGTTTTTAAAAACATCTTGTAAGACAGTTATATGACTGAGCTGGATACTCTGATCTCACAAATGTTTTATTCTTGATTTGAAATTTTCAATAAAAGTCAATGACAACGATCATTTGTAGGAATGTTTTTCTTATCTGTTATATATTTGGTGCAAGCTAGCATTTTGTTTTTTTAATAATCGCCCACGTGAAAACTGAGACTGAGATCTGCAGTAATTTTTGCAGCAGTTGCTTTCTTATTCCTGGTCACAATCCTGCACAATGTCCTTTTTTGTCTCTTTCGGTCGGTTACCCATGTTGACCGCGCTAATGCTTATCAGACGTTTTCCCGGAAACTATATAACCTTTGATACTGTATCTCGTGACACGGAAAATAAGTTGGCAACTTCAGTCACAGAGGCACCAGCTAAGCGGACACCAGTATTTGTTCTCTTTGAAGCTTGGTGAGCTTTGACATGATTATTACCTAGCAGTGCACGCAGTGAATGATGAAAGTAAGGCTTCCCACCTGTTATCTAGGCATCTCATCACACAGTGGAAGCAAAAGTGTTTCCATTTTCTTGTCCAACCCCTGTATTTCTGGCACTAATAATACGTTTTTTAAAAATACATTAAATGATTAAAAATTAGTACCATACTAAATGAAAGTATAAGATCACCTATACCAAAAAAAGCACACTGTGCTGTCCCATATGGGTATGGCAGCATAGTGTGCTAAACCTACCTTCCTGCCAAGGCTCCCTTTCAGTTCAAAGAATGTTTGCCAAAGCTAAGGTTAAAAATAAGTTCACCTTTCATAACATGTTACCCCCATATTCTGTTGTGACCACAGGCCTACCCAGTCATGTAATTCTTTCAGAGTTCTATGTATGGGAGAACCACTCTTTACAGCCGCCACTCAACTCCTCTCCCTCCTGCACCAAAGTAGAAAGCCTGTGAGATGAAAAATCTAATCACCGTGATGGACAGTGCACCCTGTGTACCATCTGGCTGAGAGGGCAGCAGAAGGCTGTTCAGTCTACAGGCTACACTGCCTCCTCATACAATGGGTAGGTGTAATACCCTCATGAGTCCCTGTCTCCTTACGAAACAAGATGAGGGGCAGACTAGAAAGATGTGCAATACATAGGACAAACTGTGTCCCATATTACATCAATACTGGATGTAGCTTTTTTTTTTTTTTTGTGAAATCCAGGAAGATCCCATATTATACTGCATGTAGCTTTCGTTTTTTTTCCTGTGAGATTCGGGATGATCCCATATTATACAGCACAGGTGGTAACCCTAGCAGGCGGGTTCACCCTGCAGTGTTCACATCCCATCCTAATGAGACCTGCACTGATAGCATAGACCAGTTTTTGTAAACATTGCCAGGGGGGTTGGTTATACCTGTTGGCACCAGTGAGAAAGTCCAGCATGCCTACAGGTACAGCAATGGTGAGGACCCTTAGAAGGGTTGAGGCCTTTGAGTATAAAGAGCCAACTTGTCCTCACCAGCGCTTCTGGGTGTGAAGATGCATTTTGCCGTGGACTACTCTTAGGTTGTGGTCCTCTGACTTGCCTGAGCTGGCAGCTAGTGGAAAACCGATAGCTCATATGTGTTGTCTTCTATTAATTATGTGGAAGTCCACACAGAAACCGTTCATAAACCAGAAGTACAGAATGTATTTTCCTGCAGCAACTAATTCAACAGTTCTTTTCCAGAGAGATGCATTTAACCAGCTCAGCGACAATCCAAAAAACAGAGGTACAGACAAGGCAGATGACAGGGTACCCAGAATACTCATGCAATTATCAGAAACCCTCATAGGACCCACTTTCTCCTGTCATCACTTAACCAAAAGAACCTTCCCTAATATACACATTCTCCCAAGTCAGTAAAATGACAAGCACTCTGGCCACTTTTAGTAGCCCCTTTGATCTTCCAGGTGACGGGAAATGCCTTTTGGGCTTGGACAGATGCAGACATAAATTCTAATCAAAGTTGTCTAGATATTTCCTAAACTGCATTATTTTACCATTAGATAAACAAGAATGCTATTTACTATACTTAATACCCCTTTTCATGTTAATAGATAGTAGATGCTGGCCAAGTCTTTTCTAGTTTGACTGAGCAATCTGCATTTTATCACCCTTGCAAGTTTGCAAATTACCTCCTTTGAAATGTAACAAGTTGGGCTCCAAGTGCCAAGGTGATCTTGCATAAAATTAAAATAGCAAAGAGTCCTTGGCTATGCTTTTGTTGTGTAAAATACATCTAGCTCAGTCCTATGCTGGCCTGTTCAATAACGTGAGAATACACTATATACAGTTAGGTCTATATATATTTGGACACAGGCACAATTTTAGTTTTTTTCAGATATTTACCAAAATATATTCAAACTATAGTTCTATATTGGATATGGGTTGAAAGTGCACACTCTCAGGTTTAATTTGAAGGTATGTACATCCAATTTGGAGGAAGGGTTTAGGGATTACAGCTCTTAAGAGTAGCCATCCCCCCTTTTTCAAGGGAACAAATGTAATTGGACAATTGAATCAAAAGCTGTTTCATGGCCAGGTGTGGGCTGCTCCTTTTGCTATTTCTTCATCAATTAAGCAGGTAAAAGGTCTGGAGTACATTCTAAGTGTGGTATTTGCATTTGGAATCTATTGCTGTGAACCTACATCATGCGTTCAAAGGAGCTGTCCATGCAAGTGAAACAGGCCATTTGTAAGGCTTCAAAAACCAAACCAATCCATCAGAGAGATAGCAGCAGCATTAGGAGTGCCCAAATCAACAGGTTGGTACATTCTGAAGAAGAACGCACTGGTGAGCTCAGCAACATAAAAAGGCATGGACGTCCACAGAAGACAACAGTGGTGGATGGTCACAGGATCTTCTCTATGGTAAAGAAAAACCCATTCACAACATCCAGACAAGTGAAAGATACTTTCCAGGAGGTGGGCATATCATTGTCAGTCTACAATCAAGAGAAGACTTCACAAGAGCAAATACAGAGGGTTCACCACAAGGCTCAAACCATTCATAAGCCTGAAGAATAGAAAAGCCAGATAAAACTTTGCCAAAAAACATCTAAAAAAGTCAGACCAATTCTGTAAAAGCATTCTTTGGATGGATGAAACTCAAGATTAATCTGTACCAGAATGACGGGAAGAAAAAAAGTGTGGAGAAGGCTTGGAACAGCTCATGAACCAAAGCACACAACGTTATCTGTAAAACATGGTGGAGGCAGTGTGATGACATGGGCATGCATGGATTCCAGTGGCACTGAATCATTGGTGTTTATTGATGATGTGACCGAGACAAAAGCAGCCAGATGATTTCTGCAGTGTTTACAGATATACTGTCAGCCCAGATTCAGCCAAATGCAGCAAAGTTGATTGGATGGCGCTTCACAGTACAGATGGACAATGATCCAAAACACACTGCAAAAGCAACCCAGGAGCTTTTGAAGGAAAAGAAGTAGAATATCCTGCAATGGCTGAGTCAATCATCTGATCTCAACCCAATTCGGCATACATTTCACTGGCT